CGGGGGGCGACGGGAGCCAGGCGCGCCCTGAGCCCCTCCCCGGCAAGGTCACGGCGAACCGGCGCCCCCTCCTCGCCAAGGTCACGCCCAGCCGGCAGCCCCTCCCGGGCCTCACTGCTGGGCGGGCGCGGGTCGCGGAAGCCTCCCTCCGCAAATCGCTTCTTTCCGAGCCCTTCGGTGGCCCTGGCGTCGCAGGCTGCGGGCCACGTTCCCTGTTCGCCTCTCTTCCCCTCGGCCCCCTGCTGCTCCTTGGCGTTCCTTGAGGCGCTCGGAGCCTGCACCACCTCAGCGCGGGGCTGGCAGGAGCCTCGCAGAAGAGGCCTGGGCCGGCGTGCAGAGCGTGGGGACGCGGACTTAGCCCGACCACAGCCACCGGGCGAGGTGCAGCTGCCAGGCCCCTCGGGCTGCTGGCTTTCGTGCTGGGCTTGCGCCCTTGGAAGATAACAGGCCCTCAATAAATGGTTGGGCAACACGTGAGCAAATGGTGACTTGCACGCGACTGGGGAACAGAGGACCCTGGCTGGGCAGAGCTGGGATCAGTCTGCCTCTCCAGGGAAAGGCTGAGTTCCCTGAGGCCAGAGTCTGTCAGGCCCCCTGCAGTCCCCCTGGAGGCCCAGGGTGCCCCAAAGCCAGCAGCTTACTCTGAGTGGAAGGGGCATCTGCAGCTGCCTGAGGTGTGACAGATGGGGGTAGGGGAGGCAGAACCTCTTTGTATCTGAAGGGTCTGCCAGAGGTGGAGGTGGGAGGGCTCCCTCAGGGGCTGGGACAGGTAGCATGCAGCACCTGGGGGCTGTAGGAAAGCCCACCCTGGCCCCATAACCCTGGAGAGGGCCTATTTTGGGGAGTGGGGAGGAGGCAGAGGGAGCTGGGCCCAAGTGAACATGGACAGCAGGGCTGGGTCCAAGCACCTGCTTCCTCTGGCCAGAGGCCACCAGATGTTCTGCAGACCCCAGCGCCAACTCCCAGGGAAGCTGGCTGGAGACAAAGCCAGCCCCACCAACAAAGGGGAGAGGTGGCCCGCCTCTGTCCTCCCTCCCCCAGGCTGAGCAGAGTCCCAAGGTCCAGAGACAACCAGGGTCTCCCCAGAGGCTAGACACAGCCCAGCCTGCTCTCACCTTTCCACTGTGGCCAGTTGGTCACCTCCCTGTTTCTAAAGTCCCCCAAACTATCGTAGCCTCCCCCTCCCCCAGGGCCCCTCCCACCCACCCCAGGCAGGGTTCCAGGCCAGAGGGTCTGTGAAGAGGGTGGCTGCAGGCGCTGGTCCTGAACTCCACCCGTCCAGAGCGGAATGCGGGTGTTGTGGGCACTCAGCCTCACACAGCTGTTTAAGAGGCGAATTCTCTGTATTAGGAAGTTGAAGGACAGGGCTCTGTGACGCCTGCTCTGTGGCGACAGAGGGGGGCCTGAGTCTTCCTGCCATGACTCAATGTGAAGGGAGAGGCCAGCAGCCCCTCTGCCTTTGGGGTCGCCTCTGCTGTGTCCCATCAGCCCATCAGCCCCTCCGCCTGCATCCCACACCTGTGACTGTCAGGCTGGGGAGGGGCCTGTCCAGAGGGGGTCAAACTCCAGGAGCCAAAGCCAGTGCCCCATCCCCCTGCCCTCCTGCCCCTCCTCCTCCAAGGCCAGGCCTTCCTCTACTCCTCTGGGGGGCTCCAGTGTCCTCCCCACCTCAGGAGCCCTCCACCCTGTCCTCAGCAGCCCAATGCTTCTGCCTCTCTTCCATCTCATTGGTTCTTAAAGGTCCCTCCCCTCCGGTCCAAGGCGGCAGCTCTGTCTGCACAGAGACACACCCAAATTCTTGCCAGAAGACCCTGGTGTCCACCGGCCGCACGGCCCGGCCTGGGGTCAGCCTCCCATCTGAGACTGCAGGCACTCCAGCCTGGGCCTTGGGCTGCCCCAGGCTGGGACTCCTTCCCTGCCCTTCTGTGTGGGGTCCTCCTCAGCCTTCCTTGGGTTCCTTGGCCCCCACCATGAGGCACCTAAAGATGATGAGGGAGAGGTCTCTGTACCCAGAGCCATCCTTGCCCCCTCTTAGCTGGGTACCGGGCACCCTAATCCCTGCCAGCTATAGCTGCTCCATTTCTAGCTGGTGCCCAGGCTGCCCAGCTGGGTTTCTGCCTCAGTTTCCCTGCCCAAAGCTGCTGGGATATGGACCCAGCTCAAAGGTTCTGACACTGAGCCATTTGTGGTAAGACCTTCCGCTACACCTAAAGATCAAGCCCTACTCCCTACCCTTCCATGGGGGTCCTCAATGGCTCACTAAGGCCCTGAACCCCAAGGGGCCCTACCACCTAGTGGGCCGAACTCTCCCGTACACATGCTCAGCCTCCACTTCCTCCTTGCCAGCCCTGCCGCCGGCCCCATCATGTGATGGAGCTACAGAGGGACCCAGAGATGCTTTGGGACAAGTCTGACCTGACCCCTGGTGGGGCGTCTCGTCTCATCCCTCAGGTGATCTCAGGCCGGTCCAGGTGAAGTCTTTCCTGAGTGCATGGTCCTGCGGGCACCTGGCTAGATCTGATACCTACTCAGTCTTATCAAATCCTCCTAACAGCTCCGCAAAGCATGTTGAAAAACTCATATCTGACAGGTGAGGAAACTGAGGCTCAGGCAGGCTGGGGAACTCAGGCCACCCAGGAGGAAATAAGCCAGCTTGGATCCACACTCAGCTCTGACTCCAGCCCTGGCTTCTTTCTGCTGGAGTCGGCTCTGGCTTGCGGATACCGACAGCCCTGAAGCCCTGTTCGGCTCCCCTGCCCTGAGTGTGGGGTGCGGGGAGCAGTCAAGCCCTCCGGTTGGTGGCTGTCCCGCGGTTCTGAGGGAGGAGGCCGCCCAGACCCCCGCCCAGCACATGGCACAGCCCCAGGAGTAGTCAAGACCTGGCTCCAGGCCCGGGACCCTGCTGGGTGGTCCCCCACCAGCCGCCCCTCCAGC